GCCATCCTCACAATTGTAACATTTTAGCCCATGGCTTCTGCCACTGTGTCAATCCATCTTGTTGGGGGTATTCTTTTTCACTGATGCTTCACTTTGCCAAGCAAGTATGATGTCCTTCTCTAGGAACTGGTCCCTCCTGATTCTTCCAACACAGATTTGTTTGTTCTCCTGACAGATCACAGCCATTGAAAATCCTATGAAGTAGTTCTGCTCTGCACACCAAGTGTTGCCATGTATCAGAAACAACTCAACAGTACCTGATTCTGATTTTCTTATTTATTTTGTTTTCTTTTGAGAGATAGGGTTGTTAATGAGAGTCTTTCTGAGGAAGTTACATTTTTCCAGAAAAACAAGGAGAGGAAAATAGTTGACTACAGGTAGGGTCTTAATTTTCCCCTGTTAGTATTGAGACAGTTGGCATCCATATGTTCTTTCAGAATGAAGTAGATGTAGGGAAGGGAAGTTACACAGTGATTATACTTAAAAATTCCTTCCAATAAGTTCTTTCATTCCTCTTTATATACGTTCCAAGGGGAATTTATACACACTCATGAGACAAAAAATAACAAGGAAAAAACAAAAAACACCAGATTACTGCCAGGGACAATTGCCTGATCTTTCTGTTGCCCACCTCGTTCCTTTCTGCCCTTCCTTTACAACTAACCGTAGCCAAAAGTTTAAGAAAGTTTGAAAAAGGAAAAGAATTCAGCTAAGATTGGAAGAGCCAGAAATAACACATGCTGAGTTGTGGGTTTTCTGGATCATCTTCTTAACACTTGTCACTTATATCTTCACAGGATTTCAGATTTACTAAAGCAAGAAACTTTGTTTTTCTCTACTTGTTGGATATGTCAGTTGGAAAACCCATCGGCATGGATTTCAGAACCTCTCAGTCTCTGAGAGTGAATCAGCAGTAGTAAGAGCTCAATTATATTCCCTAGCAACTCCTACACATTTTAAATACATTATCATGGTCTTCCATGGAGAAATTCAGGAACAAAATACCAAACTCACGTTCTATACAAAAAGTCCTTTTCAGGTTTTATCTCCTCACTTGCATGGAGCATTAGTAACTAGTATTCAGCAATGGTAAAATTATTTGTTCATTTTGTGGAAACTGTCAAAGCTGTAGTGCAGTGATTCTATGAAGAGCCTTGTGGTTGCTGTTTGGACAAGAGTTTATTTGGAAATTCTGAGACAGCACGACACCATCCGGGACTGGTTATAATGAACCAAAGAAGAGAGAACAGGGTTGGACTGAAGGAGAGGGTTCTTTTAGAAAACTAGTCAGAGGAAAGAAAAATATGTGTGACCATTTTTTAGTCTTTTTAGAGAGAACTTTGGAAACTAAGTCATAAAAAGTGTTGGTAGTGATGTGCCATGGAGTCGGTTCTAACTCATAGTGACACTGTTTAGCATTTCTGAGGCTGTAAACTTCACGGGAGCAGAAAGCCTCATCTTTCTCCCATGGAACAGTTGGCAGTTTCAAACTGATGACCTCGTGGTTAGCAGCCTGACTCGTAACCACTATGCTAACAGAACTCCTTATATAAAGTGTTGTTGTTGCTGTTGTTAAGTGCCATTAAGTCTGTTTCGACCCATAGCGACCGTGCATGGGTCAAACTGACTTTGCAGTCCAGCACATTAACCCACAGCACCACACCAGGACCCCATATAAAGTCTTAGCCATAGACATTTAGTTATAGAGAACCTCGTGCTATTAAATTCTCAAAAAAATACATACAATCTGAATTTGTTCTATGAAATACCACTTTCAATGGACTTATGCTAATGATAAGGAACTCTGGTAGTGTAGTGGTTATGAGTCAGGCTGCTAACCTCAAGGGCAGCAGTGCGAAACTACTAGCAGTTCCGCAGGAGAAAAAGACGAGGCTTTCTCCTCCCATTAAGGTTTACAGCCTCAGAAACCCTATGCAGGGTCTTTGTGAGTCGGAACCAACACCATAGCACATAAGCACCACCACCATGTTAATGATGATATTGGTTTTGGTAAGGAGTATTAACTATATCATGGACTGTCAGAAAAATCTGCCTTAGTACAGTCAAAATACTCCTTAGAAGCAATGATAAAAGACTTCAAACTTAGGGCATGTTATAAGGAGGGACCAATGCCTGGAGAAAGACCACATGCTTGGTAAAGCAGAAGGTCAGTGAAAAAGAGGAAGACCTTCAATGAGATGGTTTGACACAGAGACTGCAACAATGACCTCAAACATAGGAAGGAACCATTGTGAGAATAGCAGCAGGAAGGGATAGTGTTTCGTTCTTTCAGAACTGACTCGACAGCACATAACAGTAACCTGTTAACGATAATGTTGTTGTTAAGTGCCATCAAGTCAGTTCTGACTCATTGCAACCCTGTATAGGGTTTCTGAGGAACAGCTGGTGACTTTGAACTGCTGACCTTATACCTCAAACTGACCTTGTGGTCCAGCTCATTGTCCATATTGACTATGAAACTTGTTAGTAATATAAATTCTCACCTGAAACTTCACATAATAATTTAGATTAGCAATAGTAGAACAGGAATTCTCAGCTCAGCCTTGTGTTTACTATAGCAAAAGGTAACTTTGAAAAAAAGGCAAGTTTAAGTTAAGGAAGTAGTATAGAGTTACCTATTGCTTTGAGTAAGTAAATTCTGAATTATGGAGTCCTGGTGTAACGCTGTAGGACAAGCATTGGATTGCTAGCCACAAGATCAGTGATTCAACACACTAGCCACTCTTTGGAAACCCTATGCAGTGTCACTATGTATAGGAACCAAAAAGACAGCATTTAACAACAACAAGTAAAAATTAAAAGTAAAACAATACTCTCTTCAGTCTTGAAAAGGAATCATATATTCAGCAGAGACTGCCCTCACTCTTTCAGTCAATTGAGCTGTTATTGAAGCCAATGCTCCTGGCTGTTGTTGTTGTGATGTGCCGTGGAGTCGGTTCCTGAACAGACAGGGTTTTGGAGGCTATAAATCTTTACGGGAGCAGAAAGTCTCATCTTTCTCCCATGAAACAGCTGGTAGTTTCGAACTAATGACTCTGAGGTTCACAGCCCGATTCGTAATCACTACACTACCAGCGCTCCTTCATGCTCCTAGTACAATACCTAATTAGGTAAGTATCAACAACTCACAGGGCCTATGTGTAGCTCTTATGTTCTTCTACTTACCACAGCTATTAGAGAGTGTCCACCTTTTCCTTTGAACAAAGTGTCTCAGTTGTTATCAAGGAAGAATAAATTTTTCTGCACAAGCTACAAATAAGTTGCTGTAACCCCTTTTCTCTGTGTGAAGTTTGGGCCTAAGTAAAGAAGGGCAATGTACACCACATCTACTGACCCACAGTCAACCCTTAAGTACATAGGAAAAAATTACTCAAAAGGAAAAAGTCTTTCAGGTGTTTACCAGCTGGCCAAATCAGTACAGTCTAAACCATTCGTTTTCCAGTTTGATCCATAACCCTCACTCTTAGTTCTAGCTTCTTGTCAGCAGATAACATAATCTTCCAGTGCCGCTAGTTGAAAATGGCTTGCTTTATTCTTGGTTTGGTAAGAATTGATAAGCAATGACTCATTGCTCCTTGGTTAAGCTGTCATCCAGAACCCAAAACTTTTGCTACTCTCTGAAAAGTTGTTTTATTTGTCATTCACGTTATCTTTCCAAATGAAAAAAAACTGATAAGGCTTTAAATTAGGAAAAATACAAAGATCATAATCCATTGCTACCTGAATAAAGGGACAGCATAAAGGAGAAAAACTTTAAAAGTCTAGAAGTGTGATTGGAAATAAATGTGCCTGTGTCCCATGGCCACTCTGCCAATTCTCACCACCGTTTCTCCTTTTCTCCAGCTGCTGGCTGGGCGCTGGCCATTTGCCCACAATGACTTTGGCGTATTCCTCTGCAAGTTGTTCCCCTTCTTGCAGAAGTCCTCAGTGGGAATCACGGTCCTCAATCTCTGTGCTCTTAGCGTCGACAGGTAATGTGGTCCTTTTCTTTACTCTTTTGTTGGGTTTAGAAAAATTTATTTTCTTCAAAAAGAAGTCGAGGAGCCTTGGTACCCAGGGCAGATGTTAACTACTTTTAAGTGAATTGAAACATTAATAATCTTGCTTATGCTGTTTATAATTGATTTACACATTTGCTGACAATGACTCATCTTTGAGTCAGGCAATTTGCTCTTCGAAGATCGTACTAGTCACATCCATTTGGCACCCATATGGCAGCAGAGAAGAAATGAACATATTAGATGTAATAAACTCTACAAAGCAGATTAAAGGACATGTACTTTTGAATTTTTAACTGGCATGTTTATTAGAAAATAGGTACCTTTAAATTATACTTGCAATCCTTAACAACTCCAGCTGAATGCTAAGCCCATTATATTCTTTGTGCTCTTCTCTATGCTATCTTGAATGCCTGAAATGGTTCATAATTTTTATAAAAAAGGAGGCAACAACAGAAGCATCCCTTGACCCAATTCTGAAAATTCCATCAAGTGTCTCTACTGAAATCTTTGTAGAAAATTCCTCAGAGTTTTAAAGTAACCCTTCTGATTATCATGACCTACATGATGTTTTTTCACCTTATAATTTTCCAAGCAGGAATTCTAAAAAACTGAGATGAAGAAATTTATAACACATTCTATGGTGCTCTTTTATACTGAATATAATTTTACACCTCTGGGAATTAATTGACTTACAATACAATTAAGAGATTTCCATTTTTCTTTCCCTCATCCTGTCAGTCACGGTCAGAACACCTAATCAAATCATCACAGCCCATTTTCTTAAAAATAAAAATTTAAGTGTTTAGAGATAATCAGGTACTCTGCTATCTACCAGTTATAATTAACTTGGGAGGTCAAAATTGTTATAGTTGAAACCTAAATACTCATCCCCTTCAGAGTTGAAATGCATAATGTTAATCTTGCAAATGTATGTCTGTAATAAGTTCAAAATACAAAGATAACAAAAAAAATTGAATAGTGTTATTTAAAAATAAGTATATTCCTGAAATTAAAATAATAAATAACTCTGCTAGTAGCATAAAATACAATCATGCTTTTGACAAAAATGTTAATATTGCAAGAGTAAACACAAAGTAACACAACAGTAAATACAAAGACCAGAAATAATTTCATCGCCTATTAATAGGTTTCACAATAATTCTTGGGAAAATTCTGACGTCTCTACAGTCTACTTTGCATCATTGTTGTTGTTATGTGCTATCCAGTAAGTTCTGACTCATAGTGACCCTGTTTCTGAGGAGACGCTGGTGGGTCAAGAGCAATTTAGTCCTCGAACTTACATCTTTGCTCTTTAACACTCTAAAGAGGTTGTGTGCAGCAGATTTGCCTAATGCAATAATACGTTGTTTGATTTCTAGACTGCTACTTCTACAAGTGTTAATTGTGGATCTAAGCAAAATGAAGTCTTTGACAGCATTAATCTTTTCTCCATTTATCATGATGGATTCTGTTATTGTGAGGAATTTTGTTTTCTTTACACTGAGGTGCAATCCATACTGAAGGCTGTGGTCCTTGTGTGGCATTTACTATTATTATCCCCAGTTTACAGATGAGGAAGTCAAAGTTCAAAGAGGTTAATCAAAACCATGCAGCTACTAAGTGATGCAGCCAGTAACCAAACGTTGGTAGTCAGCATTCTTAACCAATTTACTCAAACATATGAAGCCTCAAACCATAAAGCAAAAGAAAATAGAACAATATCATTTAATTTCTAGAAAAGGAAGACCTTCTGAACTTAAAAGGAATGGTGGTGATTCCAATAAAAAAAAAAAAAAAACTATCAATGTATTTAAGGACTTAAATTTTAAAACATTCAGATCAGACATTCAAAAAAAATTTTTTAAGCAATAAAATACAAAAGATTTTGTTGTTGTTATGTGCCATGGAGTCAGTTCCAACTCATAGCGACCCCACATAGGGTTTCCGAGGCTGTAAATCTTTACAGAAGCAGAAAGCCTCATCTTTCTCCTGCAGAACAGCTGGTAGTTTCTAACTGTTGACCTTGTGACTTACAGCCCGGTTCGTAACCACTACGCTAAAAGATAGTTGAAGAAAAATAAAACCACAAAACCAAACCCACTGCCATCAAGTCGAGTCCAACTCATAGCAAGCCTATAGAGTCTCTGCGGCTATAAACCTTCACAGGAGTAGAAAGCCTCATCTTTCTTCCATGGAGTGGTTGGAGAGTTTGAAATGCTGACCTTGCTGTAGGCAGTCCAGTGCTTATCCTACAGTGTGCTACCAGGATTCCTTTGAAGCAAAACTACATGCTAAGCTGCAGACTCTACATTCATGGAAAGAGAGGGACTGAGTGCTGGCAGCCAGGAGGCAGGCTTGCAGAATGTGCCCTTTGGTTGTTTAAATCATTATATATTCCTGAGTGTTTTTGTGTACATCTCCCCACTCCCACCCCACCCCCCAAAAAAAAAGAAAAACAGAGGGGATGGAAACAAATACTATTGAATGGTGGTGCATGGAGGAGATTGTAATCATTGCAATGAAACGATAGTGTAAAGCCAGTGTTCTCCCATGTAAACTATTACTCAGTTCACAATAAAAAAATTAAAATTAAAAAAGAAAGCAGGTCTAATCAAACCAGTGGCTTCTGAGTGGATCTGCTGGGCCAGTTAAATTCAAGGCAGAGAAGTCTGCTCAGAAGGTTATGTCGACTGCTTTTTAGGATTCCAAAGGGGTCATCTTGACAGAGTTTTCTCAAAGTACACAGGATGATCATGGGAGCTTATTATGAAGCAGTTTTCAGGAAATGGAAAGCTACATTGGTGAGAAAAAGGCCAAGAAAGTTGCACTATGGAGGGGTTTTTTTTCCCATCACAACAATGCACCTGCTCATTCTTCAGGGGTAGCCAGGGCTGTCCTACAATAACTTCATTGGGAAACCTTGCCCAATCCACCCTACAGCCCTGATCTTGCCCCTTCAGACTTCTTTGTGTTCCCCAAACTCAAGGAACATTTAAATGAAACATTATATATTAAAGTCTCTGGAGGTGTGTTAATGCGCTGGATGGCAAGGTTGGCTTGAACTGCAAGTTAGCAGTTCAAGCTCAGCAACCACTCCTTAGAAATCCTACACAGGGTTTCTATGAGTCAGAACCAACTCAAAGGCACTTAAGAGCAACAAATCAAAGAGCTCAGAATTCTTGGACAAAAGGGTTGTTTTTGTTGGGTGCTGTTGAGTTGGTTCTGACTCATAGCAACCTTGTGTAAGACAGAATGAAACATTGCCTGGTCCTACACCATCCTCACAATCATTGTTAAACCTGAGCCCATCACTGCTGCCACTGTGCCAATCCATCTGGTTGGAGGCCTCCCTCTTTTTCACTGACCCTCCACTTTACCAAGGCACAATGTCCTTCTGCAGGGACTGGTTCTTCCTGATGTGTGTCTGAAGCATGAGAGACTAAGTCTCACCATCCTGGCTTCTAAGGAACATTCTGGCTGTACTTCATCCAACACAAATCTGTTAGTTCTCCTACCAGTCCATGGTACTACTAGGAGGGAGATGGAAATATTGCCTGCAGAAGTGTATAGACCAAGATGGAGGAAATGTTGAGAAACAATAGCTTCACATTTTGATGTTTTTGTTTAATAAATGTTTCAATGGTTTTGTAGCAAACAAAAACTACATGCTAATATTCTTGGTATTTAAAGAGGTTATACAAATAGTCATTGAAACCTCTATAAATACACAAAGGATACAAATACAAAAATCACCAAAGAAGAAATTTTCTTAAACTAATGAATATATAGAGTCCTGGTGTGGCACTGTAGGATAAGCACTGGACCTCAGAGTCAGTTTAAACCACAAGTCAGTGGTTCAAATTCACCAGTCACTCTTCAAAAACCTTATACAGGGTTGCTATGAGTCAGAACCGACTCTATGGCACTTAACAATGACAACAACAAAAGGGCATATATAAATAAGATTCACATATTAAAGAAAAACTAATAAAAAGCATGGTACTCAGTATGCAAAAATTGTATTGATGAGACTAGATATTTGTGTAGTCTTTCATGCAAGGAAAAACCTACAAGTATCTTCTTCACCTTTCAACCTATCAATTCTAATGTTTAGTATCTAGTCTGTGAAAACTACGCAAACTTTGAGCAGAGAATTTGTGAAGATACTCTTTACAAGTTAATTCATAGTGAAAGATGAGAAAAGATGTTTAATTTATATGCCCAAGTGGGATTCAAAAAGTTCATGGAAAAATTTCATTATATTTTCATTCAATTAGTCCATGAACTTTTGACTCCTCAGAAACTCCTCTGGCTCATACAGGGTCTCCAGAACCGACTCAATAGCCCTTAACAACAGCATCAAGTTTTCAGTTGCAGTAAGTCATTTCCAATTCATGGTGACCTCATGTGTGTTAGAGTAGAACTGTGTTCCATAGGATCCTCAGTTCCTGGTTTTTCAGAAGTAGATTGCCAGACCTTTCTTTTGAGGCTATCTTGTTGGACTTGCCCCATGGATTTCAATTTATATGTAAAGGTATACAAACATAAAATCCCTTGAGAGAAATATGATAACTATTATTTAGCAGTTATGTCTGCAGATGGAAGGGATGGTTTTTTGTAATGATTTTCTTCTGTGCGCAGAAAAAGAAAATCTAAAAGTTTTTTGTCGTTGTTTGTTTAGGGTTGTTTTTTTTTTTTACTTTTAGTGTCTGTCATTCATTTTCCTTATTTAGTTTATGTCAGTCTGCACTGTACATTTTATTTTCTCATTTGCACAGCTTATTCCTTTGACCTTTTATTCTTTTGATCTTATTATATGTACATTAACACTACTTTTCTGTGACTAAGTAGAAAATGTCAATAGATTAGATAGATAGATAGATAGATAGATAGATAGATAGATAGATAGATAGATAGATAGATACGTAATACATACATGAATAGACATTTTATGTGGAGAAATATATGTG